AGAAAACACTAATTTATTTACTATTTTTAACGTGTTTGCAGCCAACTGGGTAAATCAGCCTTCCTATCGGACAGCTAGTCTTTTCATTAAATAGCGCCATTTAATGGCACGCCTAGTTTTCTGGTTGAATCATTATGACGTTTGGACTGTTCAATAAGCCGGCTGATTTAAAGGCCTGAACCTTTTTAGAATTAAAAAAAATAGCTTTAATTTGTTTACCAACATTTATTCAACCAGTATTTTGAACTATTCAATCAATATGACTCGCAATTCTTTTTTCGAATGTTATATTTTTATGTAGGGTATAATATTTTATTAGTTTTTATGCAAAAAAGGGCCGTATAAAAAGTGTATTGTCATATATCTTGACCTTGCCAAAGCATTCGACACAGTTTCGATCCCCCAAACTCGTGGAAAATTTGATTTGCGTTGGTGTTAGGGGTATGTGCTCGGAATTTTCATAGACTTTTTGACCAGTCGTAGTCAACAAGTCAAGATTCACAAATATATAAGTGCAGAGGCCACAGAAATGTACGGTATTCCCCAAGGCAGTATCTTTGGCCAAGCCTCTTCCTGGTGAATGATTTATATCAAATGACATCAGGTAATAGTAAGATTTTTATCTACGCTGATGACATCGTTCTGATATTCCGGGAGGAGTCTTGGAATAACGTCAAATTGGTCGCTACAATGGATCTACATAGAATCTATAATAGGCTTGGAGATAATTACCTCACTCTTAATATAGTAAAATCTAAATATCTACAGTTCTCTATAGCAAATTTGGGTCTGGCTGATAAAGACATGAAAGTTCATTCATATGATCTATCCACAGAAGTATCTATCGCAGGGTGTGAATTGTTCATGCCTGGCAATTTCTAAAGTTCCTAACATTAAATATCTCGGAGTACAAATAGACAATAGCTTAAAATTCAATTCACATCTCGATCTCATTGCTACTCGTCCGAGGAAACTTATTTAGGCTTTTAAAAGACTGAAGCTTATTGCTGATTTCGATTTTTTACGATCTGTTTAATATACTTCGGCTCAGTCTCTTCTTTCTAATTGTATTACATGCAAAACCTTTTTGATACATATAGAAAGAGCACAAAGATCACTCCTAAAAATTGTGATTTTTAGTCATCATCTAGGCATCATTTAGGCATCCGACTAGTTTGCTTTACAAAATTGCCAAGTGTCAACTGGCAGACAATTGTACGTTCAACAAATGATACATAGGCAACACAAAGTTACACCATATGATAAAGCTACTTATAGTAGCAAACTACAATTACTAACATATACAATTAATAACAATTAAAACACTACAATTAATAACAGGTACCCCTGTTAGATGTGATTTTAATTCACTTATATAATAAAAAATAATTAAAGTAATCAATAAACATAGAGGATGTATATTTCAACACGTGATGCTAAATACAAGTAAAAAAATTGGCTATTATCTCTTCATTATAATGATACAGAAACATTACTCGACTAACAGAATTAATATAGGCTGAGCTATTATTAGCCTTTGTTTCCCTCAAACAGACTGTCAATATTGAAGATTTTCAAAGTATAACATATCAAATATTCATACACACAAACACGCTTCGTACAAACACTCATCACACACACTCTCTCTCTCTTTCTCTCTCTCTCTCTCTTTCTCTCTCTCTCTCTCTCGCACAGCCACACAGTTTCACTAATTTATTAACTCTATTGTTTTTGTTTCCACTTCTTCGTCTTGTTCTTATTAGTTCATAATTTATATCACGTGGATTGATATGTTCTCTAAAACGGTAGAGAAACGTGTCTGAAACTCAGGTTTTATATACCTACCTCAGATGTCAGGGTGCTCATCAAAATGAAATCTTGTCTCTTTGTGAAAATAAAGAATTATATTATTATATTTTGGAGAAAATATTATTTTTAAGTACCATATTTCTAAACTATCATGTGACTCACAGGGTCAAAATAACCGTGATTAGGTATTCTTTAATTTTTTCGTTATCTGTTAAAAATAACATTGGAATGGAATGGATGGCTAGAATTTGTATAGAGCCATTTTAAAACAAAAATATTCTTGTACACGATTTTTTTTCAATCTAGTTTTGTTTACCAATTTTTTGTTTTCTCTTTAAAAAAAATAATCACGAAAGTTAAAACAAAAACTTTTGTCAAAGTTCATAAAATAAAATTTGTTGGAGTATTTAAAGTAACTTCATAAAATTTCTTTAGCTCAGAAAAGATACTTATGTTTTAAACAATTGTAATTATTTTATTTGTTCTAATAAAACACCATAGTAAAAATAATATTTGACGCTCTTTACAATAATACCAATCAATTATTGAAGTGATTCTTAGGTAACCTTTATGATAAAGTTGATAAATACATTGCTGGAATGTTTAATATTCATGTATACAATATAGATTGGGTTTTCAACAAGCATAAAAATATTTAAAAAAACAATCGAATTTCTAAGGACCGCAATCTATGAGTCTACGATGAAAATGCAGCTCTACTCTTTAGATATGGTAACAGAGTTTTCAGTTTCCGAGTAATGACCACAATAACTTTACACAATAATGACTTCTGAAGACAATAATCATCAAAAAAAATTTAGATTATTTTAATATTGTTAAGTAAACTTATAAGGAAATTACTAAATAAGAATTTTTATTTAATAGTTAATCATTCCGGGTCTAAGCTAGTTCTCTAAGTAGCTGTCCAAGTTAAAGTGCCATCAGAAATATTCTCCTTCGATGACCGTTTGTCTTCAGTCCATCAAAACATTCCCGATTCCCCAGTTATTACTAAATAAGAACCAGAAAGAGTTTACGTTGATACCGTTTACTTCGGCCATCTTTGAAGATATCATGTCAATTCGAGTGCTTTATTCTTTATACTTACATCTTATGTATATTAAGTTCTTATATTTACATTTTTGGGTTGTACTTTCTTCTTTCTACACCTAAACTGATTCACCACCACACAGGAGTGATCGTTTTCAACCTTTCCAGGTTTTTGTACATCAGAATGTTTCGGAGTCGATAATCTTCCAAATTTTGTTTTTTCCATCTGCATTTTGACCATTCACAACAATATTTGAATTTATTTATCTTATATTGTAATCAACTCCTGACATTTTACGTGTCTATCCATGTTTTATTACAAAAATTCAGTTTTGATGGCAAACAATTTCCAAAAAATTGGAATTCCTTTTGAGAAACATAAACAAATATATGTATTGCAGTTCGGTATTAAGATAAAAAATCATAGTTCTTAAAATTTTCTCCGAATATATAAAACATAAGTACTTTTAGTAAAATCTATTATTTTTTAACAATGTGTAATTAGCGTATTCCACGTATTTGACCTTAGTATTCTTTTGTATTAGACTTTTAAGTTCCATAAACAATTCAGATTGGACTGATACGCTACATTGCTGTACAAGGTTTTAATAGGGATGATGACTAATTTTTGTTTGTTTGTTCGTCAGGTAGAGTGTTTTAAAATATTAAACATGTATTTTTTTTATTTTTTCGTAATAATAAAATTACGGCGTTACATTGAGTTGAAATTTCGCATGACGTCACGTTAGAGTACGTTTTCTACTCAACTGTGACGTAGCGAGCCCCCACTCCTCAAATTTAATGCCTATGCTAAGCTACGAGGGTCAAACTGAAAGTTCTTAGAACTGGCCACTTATAAACAATATAATAAAAAAATAATTCTAAAATTTGAAAATATAACTCTTTGCCAATATTACTGAGTATATATTTCATTCATTTGTCATTTGTTTTACGATTTGGCGGCAAATTGAAAATTGTCTGTGTCACGTCATCATGAATTTAACACGAGAAAATTTTCGTGCAATGATTTTTTATGACTTTCGATGTCATTTAAGTCAACAAGAAAGTTATGATAGACTACGATTGGCCTTTCACGATGAAGCCCCATCTCGTGCGACTGTTTACAACTGGTTTAATGAGTTTAAACGTGGTCGCACTAATCTCACTGATGATTTACGTGAGGGACGGCCTTCTACGGCGACGACTGAAGATAACATCTGTGTTGTGCGGCGTATGATAGAGACTGACAAAAGAGTGACCTATCAACAGATTCGGACAAGCTTAGGCATCGGTATGAGTCAAGTGCACAAAATCCTCCACGAACATTTAGCGGTCAGGAAGCTTTGCGCCCGGTGGATACCTCATAATTTGACTGAGGCTCAAAAACTCCATCGTGTGGATTGGTGTCGTAAAATGATTGAAAGATTTAACGGAGGTGACTCAAATGCTGTGTTCGACATACTAACAGGTGACGAAAGCTGGATTTACTGTTATGATCCTAAAACCAAAAGACAATCTGCTCAGTGGGTGTTTCCTTTCGAGGAGTTGCCAATTAAAGTGAAGAGAGATCGAAGTGGGGGAAAAAAAATGGTGGCCTCGTTCTTTGGAAGGATAGGTCATTTTGCAACAATTGTGTTAGAGGATCAAAAAACAGTTTCTGCAGAATGGTACACTACCAATTGTTTGCCACTTGTCTTGGAAAAAGTTCGAGAGAAACGACCTCGCAGTAGGATCCTCCTTCACCACGACAACGCCTCGTCGCACACCGCCAAGCGAACGATCGACTATTTGGCGACATCAAACGTTGAATTACTGGGTCACCCGCCGTATAGCCCCGACCTCGCGCCTTGTGATTTTTATTTATTTCCAAAAATTAAAGAAAAACTTAAAGGAAAGCGGTTTATGAATGCTGAAGAAGCGGTGGCTGCGTATCGCGATGCCATTGAAGAGACCCCTAAGGACGAGTGGGCAAAGTGCTTTTCCCAGTGGTTCCATCGCATGCAGCGGTGTATTGACGTGAATGGACAATATTTTGAAAAGATATAATAAAACTAATAACTGGCTAATGTAATCAGTTTTTGATTTTCTAAGAACTTTCAGTTTGACCCTCGTATTACTATTACTTGTTAAATTGAAGTAAAAAAAAATACGTAACTAATATTTTTCTATTATCTGACTGACGGACTAAATAGAATTGCATTTTTTTTACCCAGTCATCATCCCTATTCTGTATTTTGTAATTTTGTTGCATTAGGCAAACTTTTGCTGCATTTTCTATTGTTCATTCTCCATCCTGTCCATGAGCTTCATACCTTTCGTTTCTGGGAGGTAACAACATACCGCCGCTGCTAGCAGTGGTATCACTGCAAATACGACTGGTGGTAGCCAAGGAAGCTGGTTCAGGCCAACCACAAACGGTGCAATCATGGAGCCAACTCTCGATGCGGTAGAAGATGCACCCATCGCCATATTCCTTGTTAAAGTTGGGAACAGTTCTGAGGTGAACGTGTACCTGTGTGACAGAAGAGTGTTAGATTGATGAAACGGGTGCGAGATAGATCTATTATTTTTTTCAACTACTTATTTTTCCCGACTTTTCGACCGGGTTACACCGGCCGTTGTCACGAGGAGACTGGTCTTATGATGTTCCGTCTCTTCCTCTGAAGTGGAATCCACTTCCACCGTCCAGTTTTTTCCTCAGGTACCATCACATACAACACTTACAGAATCCCTATTCGGCATCGCAGCCTTATTATAGTAGTCCGGTAACCGCAAAAAGTTTTTTATCACTGGATTCCAAGTTCTTGACAATTTAAAACCATCTTCACGATTAAAATTTTTGGGATGTTTTTTAATTTCAATCGTCTCATGTACATTCCATGAACAAAAATGGCGATCCGCGGAAAGTACCCGTGTACGATGGAATTCAATCCAGTGGTTTGTGCCTATTTCCATTAGATGTTTTGCGATCGCCGATTTATTTATCTGGCGCTATTCTATGTTCACGGACTCTTTCAGTTATCGTTCGTTTCGTCTGACCAATGTGACAACGACCACAACTGCAATCAATCTTATACACGCCAGGTGTTTGTTAGGGTAAAACATCCTTCAGCGTTTCCATGATGTTATTTACTTTTAAGCCAGGCACAGAGTAATCACGTAGTACATGGCCAATCTTGTCCGTTACTCCTTTGACGTGTGGCATACAGGCTGGTTGTCTTTTAATCTCGGGATGTCTACTCTTTGGTCTCGGCTACTTCTGTCGTTCTTGCACTTGATGACATTTTTCTTCTGTACCTCCGGAACATAGGCCAACTCTTGTCCTTCATGTTCAGGGTAACACAGGGCATAAGCTCTGTTCTTCAATGAAGCGGGCAAGGATTGCAAATCTAATATAGAAAATATCGTTCACATACCTCTTCCAAAGCCGTATGATGGATGGCTTAAAATTCAGCACATTTATTTCAAGATGTTCCATTCATATATTGGCAAGTACCGGGGTTACTGGACTTCCCATGACGACACCATCTATTTGCCTTGGTCTTGGAAAAGGAAATAGTTCCCTTCTAAGCAGTTCTTCAGGAGATAAATATAATTGAGAGGCATCTCTCCATCTATCAGAATTTCTTTCACCACTTCTAGGCGCTCTCTAATTGGAACATTAGTGAAAAGTGATTCAACATCAAATAACCTCACCTGGTTCTAACGTGAAGCTCTTTATGATCTCCAGGAAATAACAAGAGTTCCTTACAAATGACGATGTTTTTCCCGAAAACGCCCGTAGTACTGAGGCGACATGTCTGGCCATGTCGTAAGTAGTAGAAGAAACTTGAGTCATGATTGGCACATAGGACCATGCATTTTCGGTGGTTGGTGTGGTTTCGGTCTATGCAAATTCTCATACTCATCTTCCGTGCACAGGTCCTGGTTCTCCTGAATGAAAGTCCTTATACTGCGGGTTACTCTGGACGTGGGGTTGTAAGAAACAGGCATATATACGTTTTTATCTTATAACAAATTTACCATTTTTTTCGCAATCAGAAGTGTTCATCACTATGGTGGCGTTACCCTTATCGGCCTTAAGCACTAAAATATCCTTATTTTCCCGAATGCTTTTTAATGCTTGACGTTCTTCCATAGTTATATTCGTGGTCGAAAGTTTCGATTTTCGTAATATTGCCGCGACGTCCTGTCTGAGCGTATCTGCTTCTTCAACACTACTAATTATATTTTCAAATGGAATTCATTTTAGAGTTGGTACGAAATTTCAAACTTTGTCCAAGATCTTGACGGTAGTTTCGTCTAAACTTACCCGGTCGAACCGTCGGGAAATATAGGTAGGTCAATAACCTAACTATAAATCTATCGCATCAATACCCGTTTCAAATGTTCTAATATAATGCAACGCGAAAGATTAAAAGTTTATACAGAAGTGTGTTGTTGTGAAAATAGTGAACGACGAAAAAAAGATGTCTATTAATTTCTCAAGGCGAAAGAAAATCAATTGATTTTTGGCAAATGTGAATAGTTCAGATTCTGTTTAGAATAACAACAAAATTATTTTAAGTCTAAAATAACTTTATAATCACTTTATAACCCCAATACCTACTGTTGAGGCACAAGCCTTTCTTTTTATAGAATAAAGGTCGTAATAGACGGTTAAAGATGATAAAATATCGCTCGCCATACATTTCAATAGCCCAACACACACGGTCTAGGTAATATCATATATTCATACTAGCCTTAGCCAGCGGCTTTGCCCACTTGGTCCTTATGGCAAAGTTTAGCGGGATTAAAAGTCCTATTATCTAAGTCTGTTAATACCCTATTTGTATACCAAATTTCATTAAAATCCGTTCAGTAGTTTCGGCGTATTTGATGGACAAATATACAAACAAAGAAACTTTCACCTTTATAATATTATAATGGGATTATGTATCTTAAGATAACCAGTGATACGGAAATATATGTATGCCTCGCAGGTAATATTAATCTACGATTTTGGTAATTAAGATACGAAATATATATTTCGTAGATTAGGATGCTATTTAAATGTTATAGCATTTATATTACCGTAATATTAACCGTCTTAAAATAATATATATTAACATTTTAAGCTATCATTAAAATCGATATGATAAAATATGTTATTTTAAGATAACTTGAGCAGGGTTCAGAATGATAATTATCGCGTTAATTATCACGATAATTATCTTGATAAATATACTTTGGTAATAACACTGGTCAACAATGGTTTTGTTGCCCTTAATATTAAAGTGGTTTCGAAACATTTTATGCATACGATTTATAAAAAATGTGAATGATTTTGAAATATTGGCCCTGGTTTTTTTTTAATCCATATTTTTCTATTAAACTATAAAACACAGAATGAAACAGTTAGTTTATTATTTAAGTTTTTAATTGATGTACGTAGAAATAAAAATAGAGAATAATCTTTTAAACTGTGGTAATAGTTCAAAGAAACGCCTTTTATAAGCTTTTCGTCTATAGGTAATTTGTGGATAATCTCTTTTCAAGGACCAGCAGTAATCTGCCATCATGTAACGATCCCATCTACCCTGATACCTTACTTCCATAACTTTTAAGTCTTGGTAGAAGCATTCTCCCTGTTCTTCTCTGTATTCTTCCAGATTGAAGGGAAATCTATCCAGGTGACTGTGGAGAAAGTGCAGCTTTATGCTCATATTTGCGCCTAAATTCTTGAAGCTTTCCAACATCCGTTGTACAATTTTTACTCGTATATAATTTGGTGCTTTATAGTTATCTAAAAATTTTTTTACTACACAAAACCTCTCCATGCTTCACGTTCAGCATCGTCATAACTCTTATGAAATTTTCGTATTTCATCAATGTATGTATTTGGGGACCGGCGAATATTCCAGCTTTTAACTTTTCCATACTCAGCTTAGGTAATGTTTTACAAATATATTTAAACCTTCTCCTTCCTTGTCCAGCGCTTTGACAAACTGTTTTATAATACCCAACTTGATGTGTAGTGGCGGAAGTATGACTTTTCCTCTACTTAACAGTGGCTAATTTATTACATAAGTTTTACCAACAGTTAAGGATTCTCTCAAAGGCCAAACATTTTGATCCCAATGAACTTGCTTTGCTCTGCTGTCCCATAAACAAATAAAGCATAGGTATTTGGTGTATCCACTTTGCTGACCAAGTAACAAGTTCACCATCTTCAAATCTACAAAACCGGCCATTGAAGGTCAGAGTAATTAATTTTTTGCAGAACCAATTTAATATTTTGATATTCTTTAGTAAGTATCGTTGAATGGGCAATAGGGTTTGATGCAAATTGATTTTCATTGTGCAATAAAACGTATTTTAAACTCTTTTTGCAGCTGTCAATAAAAAGTCGCCATTCAGTAGATTTGTATTCACTTAAACCTATGTTTTGAAGTAACTCCGCGATATTATTGCAGTAGACAAGTTGTTTATTTTTACAAAAAAATAATATTTCACTTTTCCTTTTACTGTACGCTGTAATCATTACATTTGGTGCCAATAAATTATTTTCTTTTAACCTGGAAGCTAACAGTACTTGTTTTGATAAAATTAAATCTCGTATTAAATCGCTTAGTTTAATCCGAGAAAACAACTGTGTTGCTGATATTCCATCATCATATTGACTTCCACTTGTAAATTGTACTGAATTGTAGATTGTACCAAATTAAAAAAAAATCTAGAGTCAATGAAATATTTTTTATGAATATATTCGTAAACTGGGTACTTGAAATATATAAATCTACAGAAATATCCAGGGCAACAAAATATATTTATTTTTTTTGTTGAGCTGTATAATCTTCTTACTATAAAACAATAACAAACTCTATTTGAAATTTAGGATTTGTTATTAAGAGGGAATAATTTTAAACAACTATCAAATATGTTTTTTTTTCTGATAGAGAAAATTGTCTATGATTTGTTTAGGACAAAAACAAAACAACTTTTTTTTTAATTAATGTCAATGTAATCTCGCAGGTATTTTTTTTATTACATTTTTTATAATTTAATACAAAAGTTTATTTAATATTGTATACCTTTCGGTATTTTAAAAATTGTTGCCAGCGACTACGGATAATTTTATCATTATATTGATAATTACGAACCCTCTTAAGATGAAATATTATAGCATCTTAACCGTCCGTTATGAGTTTTACGTAGGGACAACGAGATATAACCCACCTTGCGGAAACATTACAATGTGGAATGTGTTAACGATTGCAGATGCAGCCAGAACCAACGGCTTAGCGTGATTTCCGAAACGCGGAGGAGCTTCGCAAAACATCTCCATTTTGGGTCATCCAATTGACGATTGAATAATGCAGATCTAACGCACAAATAATTGAGTGATCGTAAATTAAACTTAGTCAAACGCCAACTTACATAATTGTAAATGCTCCGACTGAGCAAGTAATAGCCATAGCACTAGCGATAAGCTTCAAGTAGAACCATTCATTTGGTATAACCAAAAGGCCACTGCATACAGCGCTTCCTAAATAGAAACCCATGATAGTAGGCTTGCGACCAAAACGCTTGTATAAGCAACCGCTGATAAGAATGCCGGGTACCTGGATATTGTACAAGTTTATTATTATACGATCACAAGTTAACTTGTGTAAAGTGAAATATTTGCATTAAACTAATATCAATTGTCTAGATATTGTCAAAGAGAATTAAAATTGTAACAAGTTGTAGATAAAAATGAAAACCATTGCATTTGATATCGGCTCATTCTTTGTTTGCACATAAAGTATGGGTAGAATGTTTTAAATTAATTACTACATATTTAATGTCAACAGCTATTAATCACCTGCAGTGCTCCTGCCAACATGATGCTTAGAAATACATTACTACTAGTTTGACCGATGTATTGACTGCCTCCATAGAGGCTTATCCCCAGACAGAACCAGGCAATGCATGAACACAGATTCCGCAATCTTAACGTAGGATGAGTGAAAAATACCAAATAAGTCACTGTAGTAGTCTCATTCCTTCCACATTGCATCGATTGTTCTCTTGAAATATTTGTGGCAATTTCTAACGTGTCATTGTCTAACTTCAAATTATTGCTAAATAAATAAAAAGACTGTAAAGTGTTTCATAATTAAATAACGCCATAAAATTGTGAAACTAAAGAAATAAAAATTCACTTACAATTTTGCTACTTTTTTCATAATCTTACTTGCTTCTTTCAATCTTCCCATAGATATTAGCCACTTTGGTGATTCCGATAACAAAAATATGTTTAGGAGAAAAATCAAATTTGTTAAGCCCAAACCGAAACTAAATCTCTTCCAGCTCCTCAAATAGTACGAGAAAAGTGGTAGTATCATCTGGCCCACTGCGAATGGCAAATGGTAAAAAGTGGTCACAATCTCTCTTTTCTTCGACCCTATAATTTCAACTGTCAAAACGAACGTCACCGCCATTAAGCCCGCTGTCGATGCTCCCAAAAACAGTCTGATGGCTGTGAATACCCAGTAATTGGGGCTAAACGAAATTGATAAACTTAATGTAAGTTGTATGATGCTTGCAAATAATATAGCCGGTCGTCTTCCAAACCTAAAATAGGAGAAATCGAATATTAATATTAAACTAAATATTATTTATTTAGCCGAAGCTGACACAAGCATTTGTGAGTTTCAAAAACTACTTTTTCTCTCTATTTTATTTCATACAAAGAAGTCTAATTGACAAAAAAATACCATAAAAACTGTTGCTACAATGCTACCATAAACAACGCAATTAGCCTATTTATCATTCCATTTTTATTCATTGAAGATTTGAAGTCTACATGAAAGTTGTTTTTTTTTTAATTGTTATTACATAAAATTGTAAAAGGCGGATATCACGTATATGCGAATGATAATAATCACTTACCTGTCAGCCACAAATCCAAAGAAAATACTGCCTAACAGTACACCAATCATTAAAACCGTCTGAGAAAAATTTACCATCCAAGCTCTCTCGCACACGAGATCCCATTGTGAAATTATTGTAATTTCAAAATCCGTAACATAATCATATTTGCTACAGTCACTGTAACACGTGTTATTAGATATATCCCGAGTTGAATTGGCTCTTTCTACGCATCTGAATTGAGTATTCGGTGCCAAGAATATTATTCCCAGTAATGTCCAAGTAGCGGACAACTTTGCAGGTACACATAAAAGAAGCACCAAAAGGAACTGCCATTTTCCAAATTCACCAATGGTTTGTATTAATTTATCTTCAACCGGTTTTTCTTCGCCCATATTTGTTGTTAAAAATATGATTTAGTTTTATTATAAAATTAACATTATATCGAGTTTAATTACAACATTACAATCCTGCATCTAGATTTGCACTGATTTATCTTATCTGAGTAAGTATCAAATCATTCTGCTTTAATAAAACAAATATAGATTTTAGAATTTATTATTAACATGTTTTAATCTTATTTTTACGATTTACCAACAATTTGCTGCCGATGTAGACATCGTATATAATTAAAGTGGCTGTATATGTTTATCTATGATAACAGAAATTATTTAACAAGCTGTATTCTCTGATCTGTCACATAGTTTAATAATCCGTTATAAAGCGCTGGTTCCTATATAGAACCAAGTGGTGTTCTGTTTTGATTAACTAATATACCTTTAATGCTATTTTTAACAGTAGATTGCCAAAATTGGTGTTTCGAGTTCCTCTGTGTTTCGGAAGCCACATTAAATCGTTAACACCCAAAAATCTGTACTCCGATGTTGAGAATGATTTCTGTGTACTTTCTTTGCATAGTACTTAAGGAGTCATATAACATTTTGTATAATATTCTCCTTTTTGTCCTGCGTTGACGTGAGCTGTTGTTTACTACGTGGACGGGTAGACAGTCTTTTTTATTTTATCATATTGTTTAACTATATGACTAGGTATCGATCTTCTGTGTAATATTAAGTATTATTTTGTAGGTTTCCAAGTTCTTTACATTCATTACAGGCTTTCCTTATGTATGTAAAAAATGTAGACAATGAAACATGCATCGGACTCGGACCCAGTGACTTACATTATATCGCTTTATTTTCATTATAACTATAACAAAGCCCCGATAATATAAGAAACTAATACTTTAGAGTACCTACATATTATCGTTATTACTGATGGAAATCAGGCAGGCGTTTTGTAATTTGATTTGAATTATTTTAGAGTAGGTATCATCAGGTCATATTTAATAATAATAAGTATTGAGTATTATAACCGGCTAAACCGAGGAAAAAAAAAATAGAGCATAACACAGTCAAATGCTTTGGAAAGGTTTTAAAATAGACCAATACATGTATTTTGACCTCAGTTCAAATTTGTTTTAATATTTTAAAAATCGCTAATGTGGTATTTTTTTTTTGTTTTTGGAACCCGTATTGATTCGAATTCAATATGCTATGCTTCTCGAGGAACGACATTACTCTACTATAAATCACATTTTCAAATAACTTAGCAAAATTAGATAATAATACAATGGGCCTGTAGTTTAGATGCTTAATATTTGATAAAAGTAAATTAAAATATTCAAAAATAAAATCAATCAAATGTTTCTATAGCTATGGCAGTATAGCTATCGCCTCTCTCGTTAGGCAGTTGCTATCCTAGTGCTAAAATAGCTAGTGGCGGCAGCATGAAACAAACTTCTAGCGATTGCTGAATATAAATAGATTTTTTTCAATCGTTACGAAACTATTTTTGGACCTGATTTTAGAATGTAAGTGCAGTTGCAGTTATAGATAAACCAATAACAGGCATTGATCGCCTACTGAAATAGCATAGCAATCATCTGTACTCCGCATACGAGCCCTAACAACTTATGTAATGTTGCACTAGTCGATAAACCAGAGGCAGTTAATAACCGACTAATGAAAATAAGCACAGAAATCGTCCGCACTCCGCGTGTGGGCCCTATCGACCAATGAAAATGAGTCTTTTAGGTACAAATATAAAATTATCATTACACGCATATTTAGAAGTTGTATTTTACACTCACAGCATATTTTTTAGAGTTCGTATAGAAAAATTTGAACTCTTATAGATTCGTCATATTTGTCTGTCTGGCTGACGCCAGTATGTCACATTCACAGCCACTTTATATAGTAAGTCTAGAAACAAAATGCGACTGTAAGATGCAAGCGATGCTCAAATACGAACTCATAATACTATTGAGCCGCGTCCTCGCTGTCACGTTCGGTACTGTGACGTCACACGCTGAGGTACCGAGTGAAGCGAAATTGTTCTAGCGAGCGCAACTTCAAAGTCCAATAAGTTTTTTATTTATGTAAACATTAAATAATATTTTTTAATTGGCCATCTGACAGTACTTACATTATTGGACTTCAGCAACGCATTTATATAATACGGTCGATTTCGATTAGGGTTGCCACCTTTTTTTCTCCCAATTAAAGTACATTAGTTATTATAGGTACAAAAACAAAGTAAATTGAATCAAAATAAAGTATTATTTATTTTTCTTTATTACTAAACTTAAAAATACATTTTCTTTTTATTTATCTATTCAGTCTCAGACCAAATAAAAAGTATAGACGGAGTATTGCCTAACAGAAAAGTGAAGCCGACAAAACTACGCCTCGGCGTATTCGTACACAGTTTCACGCACACATACAATACGGTCGATTTCGATTAGGGTTGCCACCTTTTTTTCTCCTAATTAAAGTACATTAGTTATTATAGGTACAAAAACAAAGTAAATTGAATCAAAATAAAGTATTATTTATTTTTCTTTATTACTTAACTTAAAAATACATTTTCTTTTTATTTATCTATTCAGCCTCAGACCAAATAAAAAGTATAGACGGAGTTTTGCCTAACAGAAAAGTGAAGCCGACAAAACTACGCCTCGGCGTATTCGTGCACAGTTTCACGCACACATACATAACGAAACTACGCCTTCCTTATCAGTCTAACTAAAGACAGTGTGCGGAAAGTTTCATTATAAAAAAAATCAAAAATTTCTTAGTAACTGCCGAATTGTGTAGTAAAAGGTTGTAGAAACCAATCCTCAAAAAATAAAAAGCAGGATGGAATCACATTTTACACATAAGTATTGAAGAAAACTTACATTTTCAGTAATTCAAAAATAAAATTTAAGTAATTGCTTGAAACACAAAATATCAGCCAAATATTACCATCATTAAACGTTATTATTTACCCCGAAATCAGGTTTTAAACTTTAATTTTATAACGCGTTATTTCTAACAAAACACAAATTACGTTATGTATTTTTTTCTTGTTGTATGGAAATGATATTTATAATAAATTTTGCATTCAAAATGCTACATAGAGGTCCAGATGACTGATATTGAAGTGTTAGAATAAGGAAGTAAAAAATAAAAAACTGGTTTAATTTTTTTTACTAAACGGGTTTGCAAACATTTTTTCATTTCCAAACCGACATCAAAATGTGAAAGAGAAGTGGATTTCAGTCATTCCTAATAGTCGAAATGAACCTTCATGGAATCCAATTCGCGCAACGTAGTTTGTTCGACTCATTTTAAGAGCGATGATATGTAGTTTACTATAAAAGGGTTACGTCGAATAAAGCAAAACTTATATCAAAGGTTTCAAACTTTCTATATATTAAAATTGTACTTAACATAGTGGAAGTTTTCAAACTTAACTTAAAAATTAATTAAATAGTCTCTCTAATGTATGACCTCCAATAATAATTACCTACTCTTAAAGATTATAGAATATCTATGCTGATATTGACAAACGAATTTACATTATATTATTAAATAGCATAGCGTTAGCGTTAACTCTATAACGTCGTAACGTTAAGTTATTGGGGTGTTTTTAATGACTATGGTCACACTGGCACGCACACTACAATTGCTAATAATCGGCTTCACTTTGTTATTCAGCGAATTCCGTCTTTACTTTTTATTTGGTCTGAGTATTCAGCATGAATCGATAAATTTTGTTTAGCGAAAAAATACTTACGACTAAGCTTCAAAATCACAAACAAATCTAATCATACGACATAAAGTATTTTCGTGTACTTTATTTTTCTTATAGAGTACAATTGTCTGAAATAACGTACAATACTTTATTATAAAGTACGGGTGGTAACAATACAATGCGCTAAGTTTAAAACCATTATCGAGAGTTTGTTATTGTCATTTAACTATCACGAAACAGAGGACATGTTAAAGTAGGTAAACCAAATGGAAAATATATACTCACACACACACACACACACACGCACACACACACACACACACACACACACACACATTGTAAAATGTTCCTTTAGATAAGAGGAATCACTGACTTCCAAAAAAACAGATTTAATTCTAGTTTGGGGGACATGGGCTCACAATAATTTAAGTGCTAGTTTGTAACCAAAAATGCAAGATTATTAATTTATATATATAAGAACATGTTATATTTGGTTTGAATAAAGATTATTACCGTTACCGTAGTTTAAGTAGAATAAAATAGTAAACTTCTTCATTTTCAAGAACAAAATTCACTACGTTTACCTTATCTTACTTTAGGCGTTTACCTTAAAATATAATAATGTAAACAAACAAAAACAGTAGCTATATCGAATGTAATATTGAATGTTCAAGTACCAGTAGGCATTAACGTTAAAATACTTATATTATTTTTGAATTCAATCCAATGAAATTTCCATCGTTATGTATGTGTATCGTGATAAAGATACTGAGTTTTAATAAAAAAATAAAAAAATAACTAAAAAGAAAGGAAGATTTTTATTAACCATACAATGATAGGTCACATAATGCTAATACTAGAGGAAAGTAACGAAATATGGAACATTATCTCAAACAGGGAATAATTAAATACCTTCCTAATTAGTCTTTATAGAAAAAAAAACCTATGAAATAAGTCAAACGAATTTAAATGCAGATCAGAAAGAATCATGTCCAATTTTGACCTAAAATTTCACTGACGCGTCTAGTGATGTGATATATCTCAAAATGCTTATTTTCAAATTATTTCATATCATGTAATAGTCTTAAATTATAATCAGTATAGTAATTGCGAGGCTGATAAATATTTTCAAAAGTTAACCTTATTCGATTCGGACCCTACAATGATGGTTCGCTGCTCTACCCCAATGCGATTTGGACCGTACAATGACGGTTGCTACGTTTCGTTTCATCTACTACGGAAATATATTCTTTCGTCATTAGGTTAAAAGTGCACATTAACAATTACATCTTAATTTATTTCCACATTTACGAGA